CCGCGGCCGCTCCAAAAGCCCCTGCCTAGCAGGATGCTCGCGTTCCGTACCCCTGCGCCGCTGCCTCCCAGTGCCCCCGCTCCACGCAGCTCCTTGCCCAGCTGCCCTTGGAATCACCTGTGGAGCTCTGTAACCTATGCACGTCCGGCGCCTTAGTGACCATCCTGGACCACACACAGCAGCACCGGAAAACTTGTTAGAAAAGCAGATTCTCGGGCCGCACCCCACACTGACTGGATCTGAGTCTGCCTTTTAACAAGCTCTTCTGCTTTTTCTTGAGCCGGCTAGTTTGAGAAGTGCCACCGCAGACCTACTGAATCCGAGTTTCAGAGGTGTGACGCCGGGCAGCTGTACATTTCTGCAAGCACTAGGAGGGCTGATGCGCGGGGTGCAAAGATAACTGGGAGTCCCAGGGGCGAGAACGGTCCTCCTGCTGTCCCACTGCCTCTGCCAGCTCTGAAGCCCAAGACTCCAGCATCCGGAAGCTGGGCTTGCACAGTGTCCTCTAACCGTGGCAACAGAGCCCCTCAGAAATGTCACCATACCGCCACCTTCCAGTCTTTCTGAAAAGCCAGTGAGGGAAGCGCTACAGGCCAAGCAACCCCGTTTCTTCAATAAACAACTTGCAGTTGAAAGACAGTCTAAGAGATAAAGGGGAAGCCTATACAGGCTGAGACTTAGCAACCATATCCACCAGCTGCTACATGTGGACCTAATCTGGCTCCTGATTTGAGTGGACTTAAAAATAAACATCCATGGTATTTATGAGAAAATGGGGAAGTGTGAGCACTGGCTGGGTATCTGGTGATATTAAGGACTTTTTATTATTTTTTAGACATGATAACATATGGTAGCTTTATTTGTCAAAGCCCTTATCTGCTAAAGATACAAACTGAAATATTTCTGGGTGCAGCAATAGGGTGACTGACCTTTGCTTCAGTTTTAGCACGGAAGAGGGAGAAGTGGGTGGGAGTGGAGACGGGGGTGGGGGGAGCTTGGCCAAGGGGTTGGGAGGTGGGTGAGGATTCATTACCGTCTTTTACACTCAAAATTCTCCATGATGATAAAGTAGTAGTGAAAGGAAGGCAAATCAGGCCAAGTACAGTGGTGGAGGCAGGAGGATCACAAGGTGGATGGATTACTTAGCAAGACCCAGTCTCAAACCAATTGGGGCTGGGAATGCAGCTCAATACCAAGGCCCTGGGTTCAATTCCCAGTGCCAAGTAAATAAATACTAAAGGCAAATCAGATCAGCCTCTTCCCTCAGCACCTTCCTTGACTGCCACTTACGTCCAATGTGTCCTGTTTGGTCGGGGCTCACCTCCTCCTCCAGACTCTCTCTACTCTAAAGCTCCTAACACCACTACCTGCTCCTGGTCCGGAACCCTCCCTGCCAGCTGCCCCTTATACTCCAGTCTCAACATGGACATGATTTCTTGAGCTCTCTATCCAAACAGGGCCCCCGTGAGACTGCCCTGTGGCCTCCTGTGTTTTTCCTTCTGAGTATACTTTCCAGTTTGGAACTGCAGGTGATGTGTTGAGAATGTTCTCCCCAGGAGACTGCAAGTGCCTGGAGATTCACATCTCCCACCTGCTGGGAACAATGGTTTGCCCTGGAATGCTGTCTCCTATGGCTGAACTTTTTTTTTTTTTTTTTTTTTTTTTTTTT